GGCTATTTTTGGTTGCAGCCGTCATTGTTGTTTGGCGGGTCCGGGCTGGGGATTCGAACCCGCCACCTTAGGTGTACGTGGCTGGCGCCTAGCCGCAAGAAACCGTTTCAATGAGACATCTAGACCTACACATAGAAAGCTCCCACACATAGTTTCCCAAGCTCCTGATCCCTTTTACCACCTCCTCAGCTGAGAAACATCAGATAGTCTTTCCCAGATTAGTCAGCCATCTTCCCATGTTGCTCTAGAAGAAATGGCTTTTTCTTCTACAACTCTTGCATTGTGACTATGACTTTTCATGAAGGAATAGTCCATCTTGGGTTTACTTAAAAGTTTGCAGGGTTTTTTGGTTTTTTTTTTGAGACAGAGCCTCAAGCTATCCCCCTGGGTAGAGTGCCTCATGCTATCACAGCTCACAGTAACCTCAAACTCCTGGGCTCAAGCGAGTCTCCTGCCTCAGCCTCCCAAGTAGCTGGGAACAAAGGCGTCCGCCACAACGCCCTGCTCTTTTTGTTGTTGTTGTTGTTGTTTGGTGGGCCCAGGCTGGATTTGAACCTGCCACTTTAGGTGTATGTGGCTGGTGCCTTAGCCACTTAAGCCACAGGCGCAGGTTTTTGTGAGTCTATTAAGTGGCTTGTTTAAAAACTCCCCCTATTGTTCCTGTTACTCCTTTTAGATTATAGCAGCACTCAGGTGGAGAAAGCAAACACAGCAGAGTGCCCTCTGCTGGACACATTGTAAGAACACAACTATCTCTGGTTCAAAGACCACCAATCACAATCTTGACACTCTGCAGTTTGCTGGCACTTTAAATTCTCCAAAGATTGAGAGAAGGAAGCTGTGTCTAAGGACCTGGACTCAGAATTTGGACCTGCAGATTTGGCTTTGGCATAGACAGGGGTGCAGCTAGTTCCCCATGTACACGCATGAGAATTACAGAAACAGAAAAATAGGAATGAGGACAGTCTCAAGTATACTCAGTGCACATCTGTCACCCAGGTTGAGTTTCTGGCCTCATGGTTTCTGGATCAGTTTCAGGTCTCCAAATATGAGGATAAATTGAAAGACAGAGATAGATTATGATTGCTGACCCATAAAAATAGTTTCTAAAACTGTACAGGTTATTCCCAAAGTCACCATACAGAGGAAAAATTGTAGCTAAATATACCTTTACAAAATGCTCACTACACACTTTTACAAAGAGATGGCAATACATAGAGAATAGCTTTTAAATGTTTAATAAAACTTTCTTGTAAATGGGGCGGCGCCT